TTGTTTTGGTTTTGGGAGAGTTTTGTTTGGTTCCGTGTCCAGGTCACAGTCTTCCGAAACCCCCAAATAATATTTGGAGACTATGACCGGAACCCAGGGGACTAGTCTCCCAATTTGTTTTTGTGCTTTTGGGAGTTGCGGAGACTGTGCCCCGCAGACAGGTGCGCGAGTCTCCCCAAATGTGGTCCTTATTATAAGGGAATCCCACTATTTAGGGTCTATACTCCCCCAAAATTGACCCTAGGGCTTTCTTTAGGACCGGGGTGCTGGGGTGAGCACAGGCCGCCCGGTAAAATGTTCTTCAAACTTATCATTTGCTGAAAGCCTAAAGCCCCTGACCTCAGGGAGAGCCATTGGGGTTACCCCCTCCCTAAACCCCAAACCCCAAACCCCAAATCCTGAACTTTAGGGTTTTGGGGTTTAGGTCTACGTTTGCGGCGGCCACGCTTCCGGAGCGACTCGTCCTGACCCCTGCAGACCACCAACCCCTAACATCCAATCAAGGTGGGTAAGCTGCTTTGTTCCCCCTCCCCCTCCCCGCCCCCCCTCACCTTGCCCGGATTAACCCACTGCTCCCCCGCATGGGGGGGGGGGGGGGTGGGGGGAATGTCAGACAAAATGAAGATAAGCAACGTCAAGGTTGTACTGTGTTGATGAGAATTGTGTTGTTTCTCAAGGAGGAGTTTATTAAAGATGACATGTACACATGCTATGATCAAAGCCAACAAGTACTTCGTGCCGCGAGAAGAAGCCAGAAGCCGACTCTGGCCTCTCTAGTTTCGGGGGGCTCCGAGGCTCCCCTGAAAGCTTGCAGCTTCAAAGCGCAGCTAAACTCGAAAAACACTAAAAGCCTTTTTAAAACCCTATGCCCTTGGTGGGCATATCCTTGAAACTCTAGCCCCCAGGAATAGAATTCCATCGCCTGCGATCCAGAGTGCGATGCCACTCAGGTTACACTTGGGACAACTTCAAGGCTGAATTCGGTTGCTTGGCAGCCTTGCGCAGCTAGATGCCAACATTGTTGCTCTTAGAATGTCTGAACCCCTATATCCTCATCTTATACACTACCCTAAACTTCCCCATTCTCATTGCACAGCCGCCGGGGCTGCTGGGGGGCCCTTTGTTTTTTTTGGGGGGGGCATCTGCGTGTCGCGAGGCGACGGGCATTTGGGAGGCCATGCCCCCGATGCCCACACCTCGTCATGGCTGCTCCGCTGCGTCCATGATTGGCGTCATCTACGTCGTGGGCGGGGCCAACGAGACTTGGCTGAGGCATTGTTTTGGCTAGGCAGGCCCTTGGGACACTTAAACCCTCATTGGGTTTAAGAGGATCACATTTAATCAGGAATGTTTTAAGGAGGGTTTGAGGGTGGCCGCTGGCATCAACATGGGCCCAGCGGCGATGTAAGCTGGAAGTGTTCGCCGGTAGGCAGAAGACACTAAAAGTCTGCAATGTGTTCCCAGGTTCTTGGTTGCACCGTCCCTGGCCACAGATAGAACATGGGCGGGCAAGCTGCTTTAATTTTCGGGTGTAAGTGTAGGGTAAGGCGCCCCTCAGCAGGCCCCCAAGTCCTCAAGCCCCAATCCCTCTCCCCAAATGCGCATTTACCCAAAATGTGCCTAAAAAGCAGAAACTTCATTCTGGGATCCCCCCAAAAGGGCACAACCCTAATTTCGGAACCCCCTACAGCCTGGCACGCACCACCCTTCCCACCGCACCTATCAAAGTTTAGGGTTTATAGGGTTTGGGCTTTAGGGTTTAGGGCTTATAGGGTTTAGGGCTTAGGGCTTAGGGCCCCACCTGCCCAAACCCTGACCTCTATGCCCTAAGCCTATATTCCAAAGCCATGGACCTTGAAGTCGATGTTAACTTCTGGGTTTGGGGTTCTAGGCTCTTCGAAATGATTTCCCACTTGTTTTGATCCCTAAATCCGAGAACTCCCAAGCCCCTTAGACCTCCAAAACCCTTAAACCCCTTCCATCCCTAAACCCTAAACCCCAAACCCTATGCCCTAACACACCATGACTAAGTAGCTGAGTAAGTACACTTTACACTTTTTGGGATGCTAGAATCCCCTATAGAACTGACAGTGTACACTTTTGGGGAGCTTATGAACTCAGCAACTCAGATGAGCCCCCAAGAGCCAAGAGCTTGCGGGTCTGAAGCTTTTCAGGAGGATGGGGAGGTAGCCCTAAACCCTAAACCCGATACGCCCTCTAGTGGCCCTAAACTCTAAACCCTATACGCCCTCGGGTAGCGCGAAACCGTAAACCCAATACGCCCTTTTGTCCGCAAGCGATTCGGGACGCAGCCAAGGAGAGCGCTTTGCCGTTGGACACAGTGGCCTGTCCGCCTTTCTTTTGGGGCGCCCAAAAACATCAAGTTTAGTTTAGGGTCCGCGAACCCTTTCAGAACCCTGAACCCTCAGAACCCTGAAGCCCCGAACCCTCAAAGCCTTGAAGGCCTGAAACCCCAAACCGCCCAAGACTTCCTCTGCATCAAATCTTAAGTCTTTAACTACTAATTGTTCAAGAACGCCAAAAGAAAAATTAGCAATCCCTAGATTACCTTCATAAGGAAGAATATTTTCAATTTCTTCGGGGTTCTTAAGCAATTCGTAGTTAAGTCTAAGGGAGGTTGCATGATCCCTCAATCTGGTCCCTTTACCGTCCGAAAAGCTTCTGAAGTATGGTCCCGTGGGCTTTCTACGTTCTATAAGGGGTAGAGAAGGGTTCCCCAAGTAAGGGGCCTGTAATATTAAGGGACCCATGCAACTACCCTTAGAGTACGCTCATCGCCGGGCAGTCCCAAATGGCAGAGCCCTCAAGAGCCTAGGGTTGTGGGGGTGAGGACTGAAGTACGCAGCAGAAGCCTTCAAAGCCTGGCTTAGGTTTTGCAAGAATCCCCAAAACGGCCCAAAACGGTTCCCCATAAGCTGAACTAGACTAGGCCGGGGGAGGGGGGGGTTGGTATAGCCCTAGAGGATACTATAAAGGCGTGGGCTCGTGCTCCCCCAGTGGGTCGGAAGGTTCAGAGGACGTAGGTTTCGAATGTTTAAGACTTCTATATGGGGCTTTACGAAAATCAAAGGCCCCGAATCTAGACCCCCAAATAGGAGGATTCCCTTATAAGGACCCAAACTAGGTACCCGAATTTCGAGATCATCGCCACGGGTTTGAGGCTGCCTCGAGGCCCCAGGGTCCCCCGCAACGTGGGCCGCCTGAAGCCCTGAGTCCCCCAAGCGCGAAAGATCCACCCGGCACGCCCGAAACCTGAACCCAAAGCCCATCAACTTCACACCCTAAACCCAAGTAAGCCCCATAAGTGGCACTATAAAAAAACCCCTACAGCCCCGCAAGCCCTAGAAGGCCCATAAGCCCTCAAAGCTCCTAAACCCTAAACCCTAAAAGCCCTAAACCCAGGTGGAGCGTTTCGATCCTGCGGTCGGCAATTGGGAGACACTCCCGCCCATGCCTACACCCAGGCACATAAGGTTTGTAGATTGTAGAGTCTACGGCTGAGGCTGCACGACGTGATAGTTCACAGGGTCTGAAGGGTTGGTTGATATTGCTGGTGTGGATTATATCTTGGGTGCGAAAAAGGTTAAAAGTCCTATCGTTGTAGGCGCAAAATAAAAACCTTCCTGCGCTCAAAGCCCGGACGGCTTAGCCGGGTTTGAGAGCACTATACTTGAATACTTCTTTGGGTGCTGGGTTCCTACTACAGCTACTTATACCTAAAAGTATATACTTGTGTTGCAGGGTCTCTCCAAAAGCAGGGTTCTTACCCCTTCTGTCGAGGCACGGCGCGGCATCGGCAGCAGTGGCGGGCTTGCTGTACTGCGTGGGAGGCAATGGATCCGTGTCCCGGGTGTTTTGCTTTAGGGTTGGGGCTCTACCAGGATGGGCTACTAGACCCTATAGCCCCTTAAAGAGGGCATTTTAAAGGTATGAATAGCCCCTTAAAGAGGGCCTTGTAAAGGTATGAACATGGGGGTTGTAAGGCCAAGTAGCCGGTACTGGTGGTGTTTTCGGGTGCAAGGCCCAGGGTGCGGGCTTCTGGTTTAGGTTTTTGGGTTTAGGGTTTGTTTGAGCTGCAGGGGGTCTTCGTGGTCTCTGGCTGGGTTCAGACCCTAAACCCTAAACCCCAAACCCAGGTCCAGTTCTTGAAGTGACCTGTTCTTGTTGGTTGACCTCTCAGAAACAGCGAAACTAACATGATAACTGCGTTGAAACGTAGTAGTACTACCCAAAGGCTCCTATGTAGTACCTGTTTGGGGTGGGACGGTAGGACACTAGAACCCCTATAACTAACCCAAAAAGGAACTACATTGGAGCCTTTGGGTATAGGGTTACCCTAAACCCAAAACCCTAAACCCTAAACCCTAAACCCTAAACCCTAACGACTCACGACCAGCCCCTTTTTGGCAAACCAAGAGGCTACGATGGCGAGGGCGTCCTGCCCGCTCTGGAGCGCTTTGACCCAGCCGCACGGAGCTCCTTGACCTTGGGTTTAGGGTTTAGGGGTTTGGGGTTTTGGGTTTTGGGGTTTGGGGGGATTTCCTAAACCCGAAACCCTTTTTCTTTTGGCGGGGGGTGAGGGAGGAGAATAGGGATGGGATGGACACGATGATGTTCCCCATAGCAATCAGTTGACGTCCAAGAGTCATTTTGGTTTAGAGGGCTTCAGTTTTTCCGCCAGTGTAGCTCGCGAGTTTTGGAGGCTTCGGGGTACGGCATGGGCTTTAGGGTGCATAGGGTTTGGGGGTTGATTTGTTTGTGGCCCGGGTGTTTGACTTGGAAAGTGAAGAGCTTCTCTTTCAAGGTTGCTTGGGAACCTCGATGGCTTGTGGTCATTCTCGAGGTGTTGGGCTCATGGCTGGATGAGGTTTTGGGGGGTTGAGTTATGCTGCAGGCCAAAGTGCGCACCCCAAACCAAAGTCTTCACTTCAAAATCCCCAATGTACCTAAACCGTAATCCTTCTTTTGACAGTTCTCTAAGTTAGGGTTCCTTTTCGGGTCCTTATGTTCAGGTTGGCGTACTAGATAGGGGGACCCCAAAAAGGGGCCCGAATTTCGAGAATCACCCCTTTGCTAAGGTTGGGACCAGCTTCCGGCGATGCCCCATGCTCGCGGGCGATGCGCTGCGGCTGCTTCCGAGGGCCGGCTCTTCGTGATAGGCTGGGCGGGTTTAGGGTTTATAGAGTTTAGGGTTTATAGGGTCTCTAAGGTTTATAGGGTTTGTAGGGTGTGTAGGGTGCATAGGGTTTATAGGGTTTTATAGGGTGTTAGAGGGTTTTATGGGTTTGTTAGGGCTTTACAGGGCTTTCGAGGGCTTTATAGGGTTCATATTTGGTTTATAGGATTTTTCAGGTTTATAGGCTTGAAAAGGATTTATAGGCTTTAAAGGGTTTGTAGGGTCTGCAGGCCTAGTGCTCCCCTGTTTTGCGGTCTGTGCAACAATGCAGGTGGTTCAGGAATACTATACTGGGTTGTGCTTTCGTAAGTTTTTTAATTTTGTGGGTTTTGCAGGGTAGTAGGGTGCGTTCTGGGTGCGTTCTATGACTTTATGCACCGTCACACTAAATTTTGTCAAATATGCTCCCAACATGGCCCTTTTTTCTATTACTATTATTATTATTATTATCATAATAATAATAATTATTATTATGACTATTATTACTATTATTGTTATTACTACTACTATTATTATTATCATGATTCTTATTAGTATCATTATTACAAATAAGGTTTGGTAGGGTTTACCATGTTTAGGGTTGTAAGGGTTCTTGGGCTTCTAGGGCCTATTGGAATCTAGGCTTTTTTGTTTGTTGTTTTTGTAAGGTTTGGGTTCTCTAGGGTTCAGATGACAATCGATTGGTTAAGCTGAGGTGGAGCTGGAAATTGCCCCTAAACCCTAAAGCCCTAAACCCTAAACCCTAAACCGGGGTTCAGGGTTGATCAGCCCGAATACCGTTTAAGACTCGTAGGGTTCGAATTGTTTACAGGGGGTGTTTAGGGACTCCGGTGAACGCTGGGTCTAGGCTTTAAGTTTAGGGCTTAGGGTTTAGGGTTTAGGGTTTAGGGCTTAGGGGGACTTTAGGGTTTTAGGGCTTTCGGGTTTGAGGGTTCGAGGTGTGGGCTGGATGAATTCAGGCAGCAGGCAGCACACCCTCCTTAAGCCAGACCCCGCATCTCTACACAAAGGCCCAGACCCTTAACCCTGAAGAACTTGGGGCATTTTGTTTATTCGCGTTCTGGGTTCAAGAGAATATGACATATTCGGACGTTTGAGTCATGCTCCTGTGGCTAAGAGGATAAGACTTATTCGGAGGTTTGAAGTAGAATAAACTTAGTTCTGGCTGCTTGTACCCTAAGCCCGAAACCCTAGGCCCGAAACCCTAAACCCTAAACCCCAACCTTCTTTGGGTAAGACTACGTACTTGTAAGTATCCATGAACCTTTGGGGGGGCACCGTAGAATCCTAAACTAAAGACCGAAACTCCAAAAACCCGAACGCCTGCTGCAGCCTAAAACCCTAATGCCCAAACCCGAGAGCCCAAGCCAGGAATGGCTTCGGGTTTAAGGGTAACCCGATAGATCTGAGGGTAGTTTCACGGGCCCTTAATATGGTCCCTAACCTCCTTTAAAGGCTCTGTGGGCCTTCAAAAAAAAACTCAAATCGCAAAATAGTTGGCGGGGCCCAGCGCTTAAGCCGGGACGGCAACAAAAACAAAGGTGGCAATTCACCCTGGCCTAGCGCTAGGTCGGGGTGTATTGGCACCTCACATTCGACCCGCCAATACACCAAGCTCATGTTCCGAATACTAAGTGTATTGCGTCACTCAAAATCAGGTGGCAATACACCCCGGCCTAGCGCTAGGTCGGGGTGTATTGCCACTTGATTTTGAGTGATGCAATACACTTTTTGCGATAAAAAAAACTGGCCGGGCGTCGGGCGACGGGTGGATGTCAACAGTGACCATGACCGAGCCTCACAGATGACTTCTGAATCACACTAAATTAAACCTTAAAAGCCCAAACCCCTGACCTTTTAAACCCTACCCTAAACACTCTAAACCCTAAACCCTAAGCAGTCTCAACCGCAAGTCTGAATGAATAGGTTCACAAAGGAGGAAAAAGTATCTTTTGACTCGTGCTTGAAACCAGCGCACCCCTTAGTTGGTCGTGGTGTTTTGCAACAATGACAAGCCTGAACGCCCTCAATTGCACCGCCGCACCCCAAATGCAGGCGCCTTTGATATTGTTAGTGTGAGTGAGTGTGTGTGTGTGTGAGACTACACAACAAGTTCTAGAACGCACCCAGAACGCACCCCTAATCAGGCTGCCTTGATGGAGCTCTTTGTGTGAACAGTTAGTTGTTCTTGTGATTGTGTGAGCAAGTCTTAGACCGCACCCAGACGCACCCTCAAGTAGGTCATGTCATCATCTGACTTTGTGTGATTTCGCAACAAGCCCAAAATGCAACCTGAATTTCATGCACCATAGTTATGTGTGAATGTGTGTGAGTGTGTGTGTGTGTGTGAGTATGCGTGAGTGTGTGTGTGTGTGTGTCTGTGTGTGTGAGTGTGTGTGTGTGAGTCTGTGTGTGTGTGCGTGCGTGTGCTGTATGAGTGAGTGAGTGCCAGTGAGTGAGTGTGTGTGATTGTGTGTGTGATGGCTCCACAAGTCCCAGAACGCACCCAGAACGCACCCAGAACGCACCCAGAACGCACCCAGAACGCACCCAGAACGCACCCAGAACGCACCCAGAGCGCACCCAGAACGCACCCAGAACGCACCCAGGACGCACCCCTAACCTGGCTGTTCTGATAGACACTTAAACTTTAGGTATTGTGAGCGTTAGTTTTCTTGTGATTGTGTGACTTTTCTGCACTATTGCCATTGTTAGTGTGATGCATGCAGTGTGTGTGTGTGTGTGTGATTGTGCAAGAAAGGCCAGAATTTGATTCCACACCAGGTTTCACAAGCTCCGCCTTTGGGTTCATTGCTGAGGAAAAGTGCACTTTCTTTGTCGCTATGCGCGATTGTCAAGCAGTATCCGTGGAGTCTCCTTTAATTCAGGCATTTCTATAAATAATTTTCAGAGGCCCGGAACCACAACCCAGTATAGGTGTCGGAATAATTACTAATGATGTTCCCTTAGGGCCCCCTTTGTAATTGTACTATAATAGCCCCCAGAACCCTCTTCTAATTTTAACGCTACGCGCCCGCCTCGGCCCGGCCCAGCGCATCCGCGTGAGCATGGTGATTCCGCAGCGCCCAAGTCGCTGGACCCCAAGCAATAAGGGTTGGGCTTAGGGTTTAGGATTCCGGGTTTATGGTTTATGGTTTGGGGTTCAGGGTTGAGGGTTAGTTTAGGATTGAGGGCTTAGGGATCAAGGTTCACGCTTTGGGGTTTAGGGTTTTTTTGGGTTTAGGGTTCAAGAGGCGGTTCGGCTTGGATTGATCGTAGGGTTGAGCCAGGGGTGGGGGGGGAAGGGGGGCAGGGGGAAGGGGGGGAGGGGGGGGGTCCGTTGAAGAGGGGTTTGTTGAAGGTTTGAGGGTTGAGTGCTTCGGGCTTAAGGTTTAAGGTGTAGGGTTTAGGTTCAAGTTTAGACTCTTCGGCTCGTGTAATGCATCCCTGGCCGTGCTCACACCAGCCTCGAAAACCCACTCACCGATGTTTGGGGGGGGGGGGGGTGGTCCTGGCGAACCGTCCGCTTGCGGACCCCGATTTCCTAGGGGGGGGGGGTTACCCATTTGAGGAAAAAACGGGGTCCGGGGAATGGTTTGGGGGGGTTTGGGGGGGGTGCCTGTTCTCACAACCTATACACCTCCGGCCCGAGGCCTCGGCGGATTATTCAGGCTCCTATAGTACGTCTTTCCGACAGCCCGCGTGAACATTACCCTTCGCACAAGGCGGCACAGACGACAACTCACGCGAGCTCGACGCAGCGGAATGCTTTGATCCGAGCACGTGGACTTGGGAGGCAGGGGCGCTTGCGCGGTTTGGCGTCTATAGTGCTTGGATGTCTTCAATGTCTTCAATGTCTTCAAATCTACCCGGAGGCTCCAATGTAGTTCCTGTTTGGGTTAATGTTTGGGGATTCTAGTATGCTACCCCAGAAAGGTACTACAGAGGAGCCTGCGGGTACAAACGGTTTCATGGTTGTTCTGGCTTGGGCTTCATGGTCCGCTCTCTCACTAGAAGAGGTGTTGCTTCGGAAAGCTGAGCAGGGTTTAGGGTTTAGGGTTTAGGGTTTAGGGTTTCGGGTTTAGGGTTTAGGGTTTATAGGGTTCAGGGTAGCTTCGCCCCGTGCTTTTGAGTCCCAGACCCTATACCCAAAGGCTCCAATGTAGTTCCTTTTGGGTTAGTAAAAGGGAATTCTGGTATACTACCCCCCAAAAAGGTGCTGCATAGGAGCCTTTGGGTAAGCCCCAATGGGTAAGCCCCAAGGGGTGTTTCCGCGCATGTGTGAACCGCAAGAATGGGAACCTTGTTTTTGGTTTGGAGACGAGAGGCCACGCAACAAACGGAAGAACGATAACAAGAAACATGGCAAGAAAGACTACGAGCGCGGTGAACGACCCTGCCAGTTACGCAGGAGAGGGTTTCGTGTCCGTGTCGGCGGAAAGATCAGGAAGCAGACACCCGCTCACAAACAACCAAACTCAGCAACAAACCATAGTTGGAAGAACCGGTTAGCTCATGCCTGGGTTCCTGCGCAGGTTTTCTGCTTGGATTGCTGGGTCCTCACATCTTCGCACAGTCGTACAGTCGCACACAGGTCCTGCCGCCGCTGCCCACCCCGCGCTGCAGCACCTTGGATTCCTTGACAGGGGCCGTTTACAAGGGAGAGTCCCAGGAGTGCAGAGACGTTTTCGGCAAGTGAAGATATCTTTTAAGGGGGGGCCCTCAGCTAGAGAACAAGCCTCACATCATGACTCACATCCCTCCATTCAATCTTCCTGTCGAAACTCCTCCGTTCCTGTAGTTCCCTGAGCTTGCAAGCCTTTAGACTGTCAATCCCTGAGACTCAGAAGTTTGCCCTCACGCTGAAGATGAAGAGAACTAACCTAAAGATAACAAAGCTCAGAAACCTAAAGTCCATCAGAGTTCAGGGTTCATGGCTCATGGTTTGGCGTCCTTCTGCCACTGAAAACCCAAACCCCCTAGACTCCCGAACCCTCAAGCCCCATGCACCGTGTAAAGAACTTTAAAGCCCCCAAAATCCTGACCCTTATTAAACCCTCAACCCCCCCCCCCCCCCCGCACACCCTAAAGAACAAGCATAAGGGGTTTTCCGAAAATCGGGGGGGGGGGGCCCTAAAATAGACCGCCCAAGTAGTAGGATTCCCTTATGATCAGGACCCCAAAACAAGGTACCCGTAAACCCTAAACCCTAAACCCTAAACCCTAAACATCGTAAACCCCTCATCAAGCTCGCAAACCACCGAGGCTGCGCCGCGGTGGGTCTGGGCGGCGCGCTCTTCGTGGTCGGCGGCCGGCGGGAGGGAGAGAAGCTGGCCACGGTCGAGCGCTCCCGGGGACAGCGTTTGGAAAGCCCTAAACCCTAAACCCTAAACCCTAAACGCTAACAGGGTCTGCGTTTTAGGATTGAGGGAAGTTTAAGGTTTCGGGGTTTGAGAAAGATGACTGGAGAATCCCCCCCTAAGAAAAGGTGAACCTTAGCTTGAACTACGTTCCCACGTGCCGCGTGTAGGTTGTTAGGCTCTGAGGTCTCTGAGGTCGACTTTCCTAGACTTTTCCGGGTCGGAAAACAGGTTTCTCGTCTGGCACTTACCTCTGGGTGGATTGCATGGCCACTGTGTTTCTAAGCTGAGGAGCTTAAACCCCCCACAATCCGCTACCCCGAGCCCTAAGCCCATGTGCTCAGGGCTTGTGATGGAATGCCACAAGGAATTTGCAGCAGACAAGGTGCATCTGCGGTACCATGTCTCTCCTTCACCACACATCGCACAGCACGAAGCAGACTTGCATGGGGCCTGTTTGACCCTAAAATCCCGTAGATACCCTGTCTCAAGCCACACAAGCACAAACCCTTGGAGACGAAACGAAGCCGTTCTAGTACTGCCCATTTTCAGGCTTGGTGCTGGAGGCATCCCAGGTCCCCCAAGCTCTAAAACCCTAGAGGCCCTACCCAAAGGCATCCCAAAGGCTCCAATGTAATTCCTTCTTGGGTTACTTAGAAGGGGATTCTAGTATATTATGACTCCAAAAAGGTACTACATAGGAGCCTTTGGATAATCCCTGCAGACCGCATCCCGAAGCTCCAAAAACCCCAGGTTTCTCCCTCGCCCAGAGTCGCTGGGACTCCGTCCTGGCACTCCCTGGGCCACGGGACGCCTGCGCTGCCGCGGCGCTGGGCACGCGGCTCTACGTCTTCGGCGGCAGAGGCGGGAGGGGGTTGTGAGTTGTGAGGGCTTATGGCAAACGAAGGGTTTGAGGGTTTCGGGCTGAGACAGGGTTATGGGCTTTTGAACTGCATTTTGAAAAGCGAGAATCTACATGATTTGAGACAAAAGATCGACTCCGCAATTCAAGAGTATGCTTGAGTCCACACTCCGGACTTCTAGACGGCTTTAAGTTCTAAGGTTTGTCACCCTAAACCCTAAATTTTGAACTTTAAACCCTAAGCCCTAAGCCCTAAACCCATCCTTAGTTAAGGGAGTATGGCGGGCATTGGTGCTGTCGGCGGATCCAGGATTCCTTTCTTTGGGGGCTGTATCCAGCTGAAGCTACATTCAAATTCAATCTTTCGGGGGCAGTTTTCAACGAAATTCTTGGTTTTGAGCTTAGAGCCTTAAGTTCACCTCTCAAGATGCTGAGGTGTGGGCGTGGCTGGCAACCAGACCCTCGCCAGTGCGGCACCTCTTCTGACTGGCAAACTTGCTGTGGTCAAAAAACCCTATAATCCCCATAATTAACACTACAAAGGGCCTTTTTGGGGTGTCTATCGGGTATAATAGCCCATACTGAACCCCAAACCCTAAGCCCTGAACCCTAAACCCTAAATCCCAACATCCAAAACCCTATAAACCCCATAAACCCTATAAACCCTATAAACCCCATAAACCCTATAAACCCTATAAACCCCATAAACCCTATAAACCCTAAACCCCAACACCCAAAACCCTATAAACCCCATAAACCCCATAAACCCCATAAACCCTATAAACCCTATACATGCTATAAATCCCATAAACCCCATAAACCCTATAAACCCTAAACCCCAACACCCAAAGCCCTATAAACCCCATAAACCCCATAAGCCCTATAAACCCTATAAACCCTATAAACCCTATAAACCCCATAAACCCTATAAACCCTAAACCCCAACACCCAAAGCCCTATAAACCCTATAAACCCTAACACCCTAACACCCTAACACCCTAACACCCTAGCACCCTAGCACCCTAACACCCTAACACCCTAACACCCTAACACCCTAAACCCTAAACCCTAAACCCCAACA